AAAAAAAAAAAAAAATAAAAAAAAAAAAAAACATACAGACGAATTGAGTACCTCCTTCTTTTGGGAAGTCGGTCAAAAACATTTTTATTCTACATCGTTAAAATTAGAAGTCACCCCACAAAGAAAATAAAATTTATTGAAATCGTCAACATGTTTATATAAGCAACATGGGTTGTCTGCTCGCCCACATGTTGTTCCAAATAAAATCGCAAAGGTATTATTGAGAGCTTTCTCTCCTTAATAAACCCTATTTTGAGGTCGATAGCATCGTAAGCATCACGTTTTCATTCACGATATTCTATTCATAGAGGTTCAGCAAACTTCCAATTTAATAAATCGAGATGAATTGTTCTATTTTCATAGATTTTAAAGATGTTTGTTAGCAGTACATAGTTAAGTATTAACTTAACTATAATATTCTTTCCGACTTTCCCATACGAAGTATGAAATGTTTAATATTTCTATAATGTATGCAAGGTTGATATGACTAATAATTTTGGAATAAAAGAAAAAGTGACATAGCCGCTTTTTATCTCAAAATTAACTCTAGTTTTTATAGAATCAATAGGCTACAATTTAATGCGGAAAGTAACCAAATTCGCGAAGGGGAAATACAAACGAGGCAAGTTTTATTGTCATATACATTTTATAGATGATTAATATTACCAATAATAGTATGACATTCAGAGGGGTGCGTTTAATTTAATAAAGTTTTTTAATAAAAATTATAGCGATTTTTTGATATCAATTCATCAAATTTGATGTATTTCTCATTTGCATGTTGTATGCGAAAACATATTTACAAGTAACTGTTTAACAAGCAAGCAACTCTATGTATAACTGTATGAATCTAAATCCATTGTTCTTATCATTTTTTAAAGTAACTCTTAAGTCATCGATTACTACGAAACTTTGGTTTCAGTACTATATTATGAAGACCCCGATTTAATTGGCATCGCAATGCATTCGGATTCAGCTTGCTTTTTTCGCGTTTTTTTAGTATATAAAAGCGCCACGTAATTACCGAGAGAAGGTGGGTTAAAGGTAGACTAAAATAGCATATTGCGTTGGTATTACGGCAACAGAAAAGGTTTTCATTGGTTAAAAAATTTGAAACATTTGGCCGATCACAAATTCGAATTTGAAATGACATATCTTGACAATAAAATCCCAATGTCATCGTAAATAATCGTTAAAGAAAAATCGTAAAAGAGTTATTTGCAGTTAATTTAATTTAGTAATCATGTCAATTAGACAGGTAATGAAAGGTATACCATCAACAAATCTACCAGTAAAGGGCATTTTAGAAAATGACTGGGAAGTTTTAACGCCGCATCAAGATGAATGTATTAAACGACTAGGAATGACAATTCAGTTGGAACAAGAAGCGTATTTAACAATGCATCCCGAGGTATGACCACTTTGTGAGCATTTGTGTCTGGAAGTGAAAGCCGTTAAGCTTAATTAAATTGCATCCAATCGGACGAGTCTGAATGGCACTTAATATTTGCAGCAGTAGACAACGTTCCATTCATTTCAATAGTCTTATCCATAGTCTCAAAGATATAGATATATTTCAAATTGATTTAATGTTTTTAAGATTAAATCCATGATGTCTTCTTTTGTCACTAAAATGATTCATTTGGGTAAGAGAAAGGAAATGTTAAAAGAAGCTGCCGAGTATTTCACAAGGCCAGCTGAAGTCATTGATAAAGAAATAAGAGATTCGCTCGGAGTATCCTCCGATGCACCATACTTGCAGGTATATTCACAATTATATGTTTACAAATGATGAACGAATAACGACTGCGACTTAAGGTCCTTCAAAGAGCGGGACCTTCTCAAAGTTTGCCATCGCATCTGCAGTTCCTGTGATATTGCTGATGTGTATAGGCGACGATGAATACGACTGTGTACCCGTTGTTTGCCCCCTACTCTTATAAAAAAGATAAACAAGCGTTCATATTATTATTAACCTTAACATCATTATTATATTAGATTACAAATGTATTGATACCATAGAGAGCACCAATTCATATCAGATAAGAAATTCAAAGGAACAAGAATGTGCGGTGAAGTCAATAAACCCGCACTGGACAAGCGTTAGTTGACTAAGGCCTTGTCACCCCTAGAGTAGGTGTGGACTACGGACCCCACAGTGAAAGCGTATAATGAGCTAATCATAATGATAAACATAATTGTATTATTGCTTAGCTATTTAAAGTAGTAAAATCTATGATTATTAAAATTTTGGTTAATAACATTTGAACAGAACGATAAAACCGTGTTTCAATATGATGACGAAGATTTGATACCAGATTTACAAAAAATATATACTAAATTTAATCCACGACAATATATCGAAACTCCTGAAGAAAGTATCGGTCATATAAACACGGAATCCTCATCGTTTATATCAATTGTTACTTCGACTACCACCGTTCCTACACCAGGTATATAAAATATGAATATAAAGTAAAAAAAATATGAACTCAGCCATCCCTTTTTTATTTCTGAGCTCATCTCTTCTCCCGTAAATATACTGACAACACAGTCATGTGAAACACTCTTGTCTTCTCCAATCTCTTAATCTCTGGATTAAATAGTCGTAGTATCTTTATAAATATAGTAACTTTCTACGATTTACTAGAACCTGTCCCAACACCGGAACCTACATTATCGGAGACTATGTTCGCACTTGTTTCGAATACGGTTGATAAAGCTGTATACCAACATGTTAATGATGATATACTCCGCTACGATACCGCTTACGTAGAACTTACAAAGGCTGTTGAGGAAGCCATGGAAATACCAGTTATAGAAGTTCGACAAGACATAGCTGAATTATTTTTCAATGCGTTCAATATGTTCGAGTACGATATTATGGCAAAGGAAAAACTTGGTAAGTGACTTTAGATGATCTGAAATACGTTCGCAATTTTGTAATCTAGTTATTTTTAACTTTGTTTTAATTAATTTTTATTTTCAAAGCGTGTTTATAGGTTGATAGTGTGCAAAGATTTCATAGCAGTAAAAAAAAATAAAAATCGCAAATTCCTTTCTTCATTGCATACTTAGAGCCTGTCCTACAATTCTTGATAATTGCTAGATAACAATTCAACGTATAAAATATGTGATGGGAAGTCTCGGATTTTTATACTCTATCTGACAATGTCGTCACTTTTAAGCTATCTGTACCTCTATCAGTCAGTGGTGGGACAGGCCGTTAATATTTAATTTTCAGTAAGGAATATTTTATGAATCGATTGATTTAGATTAAAAATTGTATTTTTAAGTATTTAAAGATTTTTTTTAATTAACTATATCAATCAATATATTGTAATAGTTAGATTTAGTTGTGATCTTGCGCGTAATAATAAAAAAATTTTACCTTAGAAGTTACATAATATTTCAACGTACTGTACAGTTGCTTTGTTGTTAGTATTCTAAATATAAACTGTTAATACCTCTGGGAGCGACGAAGTTATGAGAAATGAAAATAAAAAGCGACGAGAATAATAATATGCATGTATGTGATATTGCGTCATGTAACTCTATTAATATAAATATGAGCATTGTCTTCATAGAAAATGTTTAGTAATCAGTATAAGGAGCAATTTATATTTAACTTATACAGCCTTACAAATAAAC